TTGGGGCTGATTTTCATCCAGATGAGCTCTCTCCAAATGTTTCAAGGCACCAGTAAAGCAGCCGACTTCTGGTTTGTTTAACCCTCCTCATGGAACCTGCATCCAGTCTGAAAGAGAGCATCATTTCAGAAAACATCCTGTTCTCGACCTGCAAACCTGGGCATGGTCCTGCGTCTGTTCTTCAGCAGCAGCAACCCCAGTCACCTCCTTGTGCCCTGACCTGCTTAGTCTTTCTGCAGCTCATCTTTCTACATAGGCCTGGACACAAAAGACCAAAGATCAGTGTAGGTTTCCAGAGGAAGCCTCACCTTCACCTTACACAATAACGTTAACTCCTTGCGAGGAAACTGGTCCCTCCGAGAATGGCATCTGCCCTTTTTTGAGCCATGTCAAACAGGGAGCTCGCACTGAACCCACGTCTTGCTCCTCTCACATCTTTGCAACTAATGAACTCCCAGCTGATAACAAATGCTGATTGCTGCTGCTGAAACATCTGCCTCTGCTCTCAGCATTTACCAGCCCAAGAGGCTTACCTGGTTTACCAATTACTGCCTCCATAAGTGAGCATTGCTTTACTTTTCCATTATCATTTTAAAAGGTTCCCACCTCTTCCAGTGCCCTCAGCCCCACAGATGCCTCCATGCCCAGCAGCAGCACAGGGCACATATGGCTGATGTGCCAGGGGGGAAGCAGGGAGAGAACAAACATCTGCCTGCTCCAGTGAGCCAACTGCTGAAGTGGGCAGAGCTTTTCCTAGAGGCTGCAGGTCCACGTCAGGAGGGTTTCCCATCCCATGCTACCACTGCTAACAGCCCCCTTCTCAACACAAGACTTCAGTCTCACTTGTGATTTAATTCCTCATTCATTTTACAGGTGCTTCTCCAAGTCTTCTGCAACCTAAGGATTTCCTGGGAGATGCTGTATCAAATGCTTTACTGGACTTTAGGTAGATTCAGCGTACTGCAGCTCACTCAGAAATGAGCTACTACAGCTTTCCTCCCTCCTGCCCCTTCTCAGAATCAGGATTGCAGGCTCTGGTTATAAAACACCAACTCTTTTCTTTTTATTATTAGCTCTGTCATAAATCCTTGCTCTTGGATTTGCAATTCCATGTGACAGCTCTTTCCAGGCACTGAAGGGAGTTTAGCTTCTCTCCCTCATGAGCCTCTCGGGATTTTTACTTTTGCTTCATCTCAAATCTCTCATTTCCAAGTTCAACGTCATCATCATTCTTATTGAAAAGGGTGGTGGAGAGCTCATTTTGGGTTGGGTTGGGCAGACATCTCTTCTTAGTCATCAGCCCCTCTGCATCAATCCTGCTCTGCCTCCTCTTGAGTTCCATGCACAGTCATCTGTGAGCTACTCATCTGAGCCAAAACTTCATCTCCCCCTTATTCATACTCAGGAGGAATCCAGGTTACAGCTGCCTGCTCCTGGTGCTGGAGCCTGTTCTTGTACAAGGGAAGCACAGTGATTAACACCGTCCACCCTGTGGCACGATTTGCCTCCCTGGGGCTCCTGGCTGTTGGTCCAAGAGCTGCCAGCAGCATCTTATCTCTGATGACAGGATCTGCCTGTTTCACGGAGCACACATCCGTATTCATGACCCCAGCACATCATGGAGCCCGCCAGCCTCTCAGCTTCCCCATCACAGGGCAAGCCCTGCTTGGCCCCTTCATGTTATTTTTGGCTGTGCTTTTGTCTCTGGGCTTCTCTAACCTTTAGCAATGAAAACAGAACCACAGAAAGCTGCTGCCCTGGTCTTTAGCTGGCGATGAGCCATCAGAATGGGCAGAGGCTGAAGGCTAAAACCTCAAATTAGCAGCATGGGACTGGAATGAGCCAGCAGTGACCAGGCAGATCACACCTGCGATTTCAAGGGCAGGAACCTTATGGGGAGAGGGGAGGTGGGCATCTGGTTTCAGATAAATGCCCACTTTGTGCTAATTAATTAGAAATCCAGCACAGATAAGAGGGTTTAGGTGATTGTGTAGCTAAGTATTCCTGTGAAGCCATGTGTGGCTATGGAGCTGCTGAGAAAGGCAATTAACCCTGTGTTCATCAGCGACGCACATGCATGAGAGAAAGCTGAGTCTGGGACATGGGAAACCAGGGGTTTGCTCATGGCTCTGTCTCACCCACAGCTCATTAATACCAGCTCAGGACAATAGCAGATCACACAGTAGCAATGATGCAGATTGAATCAGGCATCGAGACATGACAGCAACTTCTTTCCAATCTGCCACCCACATCTAGATCGATGGCAGCAATGCCCAACTCACCAAGTGGCCTTGAGGAAGCTACTCTTCCAGACCTTTGGGTTTGCTGTGTTTGGGGTGTTTTTTTAATCAGATGATTACATTCAGCACATATCTATGGGCATACAAGCAGTTGTGTTGGGATAATCACCGCAGGAAGATGGATAAGACGCTGCCTAAGCCAGCGCTGCTGTAGAGAGAATTACTGTCAATTTTTTACCTCAAGCTCAGCATGCGGCTTTAGGGAAATAATTTGACTTTCCACATTCTCCTTCCCTATAAATGAGAAGCAATGATAGCAAAGACTCTTTCCAGAATCAAATGAGGGGAAAAGCATTAGTAGTTGGAAACTGCTTTACCAATCTTGCCTGAAAAAGTGTGAGATGACAATATTCAAGTCCTTGGCCAGAATGGAAGGTTGATGCACCATATTTAACACATCCTGAATGAAATCATCCCTACCCCTCAGGCCACTGCAAGGGCAGAACTTCACCCATTAGCTGTTTGATCGATACAAACAAAGACAAAGAGCTGAGCAATAAGAATGTGAGGCCCATTCTACGTCTGGAGTTGTGAATACGGAAACCAGCGAGTTAGAGGGAAGGATTTGCAACCTGACTCTTTGTGAAGGCTCCTCTCTCCAGAGTGCAAATCAGAGTAGTAGCTAGGTGCTAAATGAATATTTAGTAAGTGGAAAAAGCTCAATTTAATGAGGAATTATTTGGTGAAATGAGCTGGGGAAATGGTTTCAGTAGCGCTGCAACAGAAGCCGGCGCCGCCTCCTGCCCCACGGGATGCTGTGGTTCTACTCATGTTGCGTAAGACAGGATCTCCAGCTGGGACAGACGCAGGAAATATAACTCATTACTGAAATGCAAGAGCCTTTCGGGGTTAAACCACTGTTAGACCAGCCAGATTCATTCCTGAGCCACAGAATTTGCCTAGCAGCAGCTTTGGAAGATGACTATCTTCCTTCATAACAGCGATGTTGCAGACAGGATGGTCTAAGTGTAGTGGTGATGCCAAGTCTGTAGAAAGAAGTAATTTTTTCTCCTTTTATGTAGAAGGGCTGAACTCCATTTCCACACCTTTATCTACATCATTAGGCTGCTGAGATGGTAGCTCCCTGTTTAAATGGTAATTACTGTATCTCTCTTTTAAGATGCATTTTCAAGGGGTTAGTGCCTAAATCTTCCTTGCAATTACATGGAGTGGTTAGTACAACCCCTCGGCTATATCCCGAGGTCCCTTGAGAGCTCACCCCTGCCGCAGTTTCCAGTAGATGAGCACTCACAGAACTAGTCCTTCAAAGAGCTGCTGTCTTCAAGTGTTCAGTCAGATAATGAGCCGATTACTGTGCCTGCTCCTCCTGGCAATGATGAGCTCCAGGCATGAACAGGCTGTGCACCATCAGTTGCTGCAGTTAATATTCCTTTCCCTTCTATCCCTTCAACTCGATGGGGCTGGTTTGACAGAGACCAGCACCTTTTGAGACAAGAACTTCTATAGATTGCCATAGCAAAAAGGGAGGACCAAACCTTGCCAAAGCCCAAATATAAAAGCCCAATAATAAAGCAGTCACTTGGCCTCGCTGATGAAGTGAATCTTGAAGGGCTGAGCACAGAGTTGTCATTGCAGCTGCGACACACGTGCATCAGGGATGGAGTGGCTGTGGTTTATTATGCCCCTACAGCTGAGAAGAGAAATTACAGCCTCCTCAAACGCAAGGCTGTTTCTAAGTGAACAGCAATATTTGAGATCACAAATTAAAAATCATGCTGTGCTTTGGAAATTGCTGAATTTAAATGTCAGGCTGTTTCTTTGAAAGCTGTAAGATAGCTCATTCCTCTCCAGGGAAATTGAGTAGGAGCTTGTCTACACAGGGAAAGTGGAATAGCAACTGCACACCAGTTTTGCATGCAAACTCATACTCTGTACTTCAAGACTGGGTTAAGCTAAATTACACAAAGGCATTCACTAGAGAGGACAACAGCCCTCCTGCCTCAGCTCCCATCATCCCAGTACACAAACCATAGCTTGCTTTGTAGTAGTAACCCCACAGATGAGCATTAACATTTGCTCAAGATGTGAGGGGAAAAAAGGTGTTTTAAGAGAATATTAAGTGTCTGAGAAACAGCACTGTTTTTGCAAGCTACACAGGTTCAAAACTGGCTTATGTACCATGGATAAAGCCTCTTGGGCAAATCACTGTCTGAGGCAACTCCAAAGACCCAGCAAAAACCTCACAGCACAGCAGACAAAGTGGCCCCAGCCTGCCTCCAGTTCCCAAGAGCTATAGTGCCTGGGTGAAGCATGCTCCAGATTTGCCTGCTGCTGGTCCACTAGAGGACAACCTAATAATGATGAACTCCTTTGGCTTACATAGTAAAAGGCCCATCCTGAAAATGCTGCTGCCAAATCTGGTTCCTAGCCCCATGCTGGCATTGCTGCTGCTATGTGTGCTGGGCCTCATTTTTAACAGATTACTTCTCGTCCCAAATGATAGAGGCTTGTGAAGCTCCAAAACCAGGCTCCTACAACCAATGCCACCCTTTGCAACTGCAGAGAAGGAGACAGAAGCAAGAGAGATTTCCAGACAGACAAATGTGGTTTTTATAATGCAAACCAAATCCCTTAACACTGCACTTTAACACAGAGAAAAAGCTGCCTGTTGCTGCTGGGTTTCTCGCAGACTCCTGACAATATCATGCTTTTTCAGTGAGGGAAATACTCAGAGGTACAGACTGGTCATTTTGTCCTGGTAACATGTAATTTATCAAACCATAATGGAGGAACTCAACTCATATATAAACAGTGGGCAGGAAGCACAACAAAATCATCACCTCAAAGCCACAGAAAACAGGAGGCGACTGTGCTGGAAAAGCAAATAAATAGCAAAGCAGCTTCTCAAAAAGCAAAGGGCTTTTTGCCTCATATTATTAAGGAAAAAATAGAACACAAATAAAATCTGAGCTCACAGTAAAGCTCATTTCTGGAGCTAGGAAGCAAATGAGCTGTGGCAAGAAGCAGAACAGCAGAAAACAGCAGAGAATTAATTACAAGTCAAGTGTCTCAGGTTGGAATTAGAGTTAGAGGGGTCAGAGAGTCAGAGTAACAGAGTTTTCAGTGGGTAATTTGGTGCCTTGACATCCCTCAGCCCCGCTATTAGAGATGTGCCGGTGACTCAGGGATGAAAAGTGCATATGTCTCTGCGAGACAGAACACACACTGAAGAAGGCAGATCAGAGCTGAAGTCTGATACACCTCTCCTACTGTCGACAGCGAGGCCAGGCTGGCTGTAATAGGGAGGGCACAGATCCTACCCATCCCTTCGTCAGCCACTCGGGGAAGCGGTGGCACTGCCCAGCCCCTGGACCAGGAGTCAGCCCCCTCCTGCAGGAGGAGGGCAGCTCCTCCCGGCCCCGCTCAGCTCCGGCATTCCCTCCCACCCGACGCCGGCGGAGGGATGCTCTCGGAATACGCGGAGTCAGCTGCTCTTTGATGTCAGTACCTGCTCCGGGCTCGGCGGGGCGGGAGTGGGCGAGCGGAGCGCAGCGCAGCCGAGTCGCAGCCTCTGCTCGCCGGCTGCAGGAGGGCACCTGCCTGCCGCTCTCTGCCGGCCTCGTCGAGGTAAGGGGAGACCCCCCCACCCCACCCCATCGCCGCTGCGGATCCACCGGGGGAACTTGTCCAACTTTCTCCATCCCTGCCACCGGGACTCATTGCCATGGCCCCCGCCAACTCCTCCCGCAACTTCTCGGCTCCGGAGGCTCGGAACGGCTCAGGTGAGCAGGGGCTGCGCGGGGCGGTGGCGCGGAGAGCTTGGTGGGGACAAGTCCGCCTGCCCATGGCTCTTGCGCTGCTCTGCGGTGCTGAGCCCGGGGCTGTTCGTACCCCATGAAGTGGGAGATGCTGAGGGCAGGGACCCCCCAGCACCCCAACGCCGGACCGCCGGCCGGGCAGAGCCGCCTTCAGCACCCGCGGGCGGACAGCTCCCGGGACACCCCCTCCTGCAGCCCGACCATCAGCGTTGGCCCCTATGGCTTGAAGCGATTCTACCCTTTGGCTGCGAGGCTGTAACACCACCAGCAGCCTGTCGATTGTAGCTGCAAAGAGATGGACCAGCCCTGATAGACAGGCATAGAACGAGGCATAGACAACATCGTTGGAGAGGGAGGCTAAGATCCTCATCGGTCCGTGTTTTCCATATTACCACCATTCACAAACCAATAGCTCAGGGTGAGGCAGTTCTTGAGGGCGCAGGTTGGTGACACTCTTCAACAGAAGGTGTTTTGCATGTGGTCTTTGATTCCCTCTGTACCAGCACGTCTTTTATCAACTGAAAGTGTGCTTTAAGGTGCTCCCTTCTGAAATGCAGTCAAGATGTGGTTTCTCATGTGCTTGGGCATGGCTGAGGGCAAAAAGTCACCTTAGAGGAAAAAAAAAAATGGTCAAGTCCTCATTCAGCTCACATAGTGCTCCTTTGGGACCTTAAAGATTAACAGGGCAGCCACAGATCTACAAACAGGGACAAGTCAATGCCTGAAGTAGCTGTTCCAGCAAACTACAGACACTGGGGTGTACACAGAAGCAGCACTGAAAATTCAGATTCAATGATCTCAAGATGAAGGAGACTTTAGAAATTACTTTTGAGTATTTGATACACGTGCACTTCTGGCTCCAGCCTGTCATACACACACATGAACAATGATCGCTTCACACTAGCTTCCAGCTAATAACCCTTGAGAGTCCTCCTTGGACAAACACCAGCAGCAGGCAAGATGCTACAGACCTGTATGGGCTACCTTTCACACAAAGCCTTTGGCCTTGCACAGGTTCTGCTTTAAGGCCAGCTGAGCTCATTCCAAGTGTTACAGGATCACCATGAGCACTGTATTGATTATACTGCAGGAAAGGGACATTTTTGTCTCAATTTCCAGCTACCCAAGTGGCCTTTACATTTCACTCACACAGTCCAGTCCCACTACATTCATTACAAAGTCTGGGGCTAAGACACAGGAGAGCAGAACTCAGTAGCTACGTGCAGAACAGCAGGACATCCTTCAATTTCTAGTCTGCCATCTTCAAGCATTAGGGAGGGGTGAGATCTGTTTGGATGTGCATGGGATCCATAGGCTGGATACTGAAGACTGTCAGGACTCAATAGAGTGCTGATGGCAGTATGTTATCTGCCAAAAGCCATGTAACATGGGACATTTCCTTGCATCAATGAGCAGCCAGGAGGAACAGGGACCATTTAAACCCCCACAGATCGCCTGGACCAGGCTTTTTTGTCTTATCAACCAAACCTGGCTTTCATCTATAGGTCCCTGCCAGTTCTGTGCCTCGCTGGCTGCTTTCTCTCATTTGTACGGAGGCTTTCTGATAAAATGGTACAGCAACTGCTCTACTGCACTCTAACCTTGGCCTTGCTTATGCCTAAGCTGGCTGCTTCCTAGTGCCAGAGGGACTGAGGCAGTGACAGCTCATGTCCTGTTTCTAAGAGCACTGAAATATGACATAGAGGTGATATAGCACACACTTCCAACCACAGGCCAGCTGTGCAGCCCAAGTTATCTTCCCAATTCAGTCAAGATTCACTGTCACACCAGAGTAAACCTGGACAAGTTTGTACTCAAGAATTCTTGAGGTTAAAGCCAGCAAATAGACGCTGCAAACAGACACTGCTTTGGCAGAGACACCACCTCATAATTATCTCTTATTTCACTTTACCTCCTTTTCCAGATTTCCCTAGGTTCTGTTGGAGGACACTTCCCCGCTTCTACAGCTGCAGGCTGCTAAGGAGATGGAATAGTAAAGTGACTGAAAGCACTTCCAATTACCACCACATTCAATCATCTGCAAGTCAATGAAAGACACATGCAGCCCAGGCTTAGAGAACGTCTTGCATGTCTGTAACAGCCACACAAATAACTCACACAAAGCCTTCCCCTCGGAAAAAGACCCACCATGTCCCATAGGAGAGGAGTAATGAGATTTGTCTGAGCTGAGAAGGGCGATTTCAGACTCCATCAAAGCTAGCACATGGCAGTTTTGCACACCACAACCAGTCCCTCAGACCCTACCCTTCTGTGCCCAAGAGCAGATAATCCCTGTTCGTTGGCACTGAGGGCTTATGGCTTCAAAACATGGCTTTAAACCCAGGTTAGGGACAAGTGAAGTGTGAATTTAACTATGTTTGGGCCTCCTACCCCAACAGCAACAATCAGACATCAGTGAGGGTAAGATAAGTGTTTGCAGGCAAGAATTTTCCCTTGGAAATCCACCTGCATCTAGAACTCAGACACAGCATCTTGAAACCATGTTTTAACCCATGTAGAATTAGGGCATTCCCGGTTGAGGGGCCACTCAAACACACTCCCAAATCCCTGTCTGGCCACTCACCTGGATTTCTTCCTAGAAGAGAAACTAGAAAGGGAGAGAGGGGCAGGGAAGGAAGATGGAAAGGAGAGTATGCTCCTGCCCAACCTTGACAACAGAGCTGGAACACAGCCAGGGTACAGTCCTGGGTCTCACAAGATAGATAAGCATTAGTTATCTGCCTGCACGGCCAATGAACTCTGTGTGTGGTGCTGTACAACAGACAAACCACCCAGCAGATGAGCTGAGGCTTTCTGACAACAGCTTGAGCATTGACTAGATCCAGATTCTGACACCTCCTCAGCGGCTTCACTTCTCCCATGTGTAAAAGCACCAGCTGCCTCACCCATTCACCTTAGAAAGAGCAGGGCAACCAGCACATTGGCTCTGTCAGACAGTGGTGAGTGCAAAAGCACATCAGTCTAATGTTAGTTCCCCAAAACAGAGCTGGGGAGATACAGGACAGAAGTGCATCAGGAGAGCTGAGAAAGATGCCCACACATGGACACATTTGGGTGGTGGGCTGCATGTACTGAGTGGCGAAAAGTGTCAAATCCCAGCTAAGCCTCTCATAGTCTTAAACATCATTCCAAGCTACACTTTTGAGGGGGGTCCAGCTGCAGGACAGGGCGAGCACAGAGAAGTGTAAGGAGTCTCCTCTAGGTTGCACTCACTGCTTTGGTTTGTTTCGACAGCAGCAGAGAAGCCAGCACCGTACACCAATGTGATCATGCCTAGTCTCTTCAGCATCATCTGCTTCCTGGGCATTGTGGGGAACCTCATCGTCATCTACACCATTGTCAAGAAGAAGAAACTGAGATGCAAACAGACCGTGCCAGATATTTTCATCTTCAACCTCTCCATTGTGGACCTCCTCTTCCTCTTGGGCATGCCCTTCCTTATCCACCAGCTCCTAGGCAACGGTTCATGGTACTTTGGAGCTCCTCTATGCACCATCATCACCGCTTTGGACACAAACAGCCAGATCACCAGCACCAACATCCTTACAGTGATGACACTGGACCGCTACCTGGCGACTGTGTACCCCCTAAAATCTACTTATGTCCGCACCCCATGTGTTGCGGCTCTGGTTATCTGCTTGGTGTGGCTCCTCTCCTTCCTGACCATCATTCCTGTGTGGATGTATGCAGGTCTTATGCCTCTGGAGGATGGGACTGTCCGCTGTGCTCTCTTGCTTCCCAATCCAGAGACTGATATCTACTGGTTCACCCTCTACCAATTCATGCTGGCATTTGCTGTGCCATTGATTGTGATCTGTGTGGTCTATTTTAAGATCCTCCAGCACATGGCAACCACCGTGGTCCCATTGCCCCAACGGAGCCTCCAGGTTCGTACAAAAAAGGTCACCCGCATGGCAGTTGCCATCTGCTCAGCCTTTTTTATCTGTTGGGCTCCCTTCTACATCCTCCAGCTGGTTCACCTCGGCATCGACACACCGTCCATGGCCTTCTTTTACGCCTACAACTTTGCCATTAGCTTGGGCTATGCCAACAGTTGCCTCAACCCCTTCCTCTACATTGCCCTCAGTGAGACCTTCAAGCGCCAGTTCTTAGTGGCCATCCGCCCCGCCAAAGAGCCATGTCGCAACAGCAGCTCCATCAACAACAACAGCGTGACAGAGGCCAGTGTGTGTCTGAAGCTGGCACCGGAATCCACTCAGCAGACCCAGTTTCTGGAGGACTTCTCCCCACGTTCAGTAGCTCTGCCTGTGACTGTGGCTGTTCACTAGGGCACTCTGAAGCGACCTATGAGTTGATGGAGAAGCAGCAGCTTCAAGCAATTCTTGGTGAAGCATATGAACTGCAAGCTTCCACCTCTGAGAGTCCAGGTGCCTCTCTTTGTCATTCCAGGGCTCTGCTCCTACGCTGCCCTTGGCCTGTGAGATGCTGCATACTGCTGCGTCTTTCCCCTCGTGCATGGGAGGGCTCTGTCACACGAGACACTGAGCCCCCAAAGAGGATGAATAGAAATGAGAGAAAGGATTTCAAGGGGGAACATTCACCCTGGAAGAATAAAACCTTCATCAACACCACTGCCTGATGATTCCTCACCTCTGGGCCTGATTGGGGTTCCTAAGCAGCATGTCGATAGAGAGCTTCTTCATTCAAAACTTAAACCTTTGAAACAGAGTGTCATATATTTACTTTTGATAAGCAATCTGACCTGCAAGCTTTGCTGACTGGGCTCATGTCCTAGAAGCCAAGAATAGAGAGAGATCTTGGGGCCACAAGTCTCACCTAGGTCTGTCACTTGGCCTTTTGTTCCATCTGCCTCTTGTGGACTCTACTGTTTGGCAACCAGGACATCTTCAAGAACTGGCTAATTTTGATGCTAATCCTACGTATTTCAGGAAAAAAAATGGCAGTTCCAATTGCAGTGCTTCAAAGGACTGCGAACAATAACCAGAACTACTGCTGCTAACACCAGCTTTGTGGCTTTTCATGGCAACGAGCAGGTTCTCACACCACTCACTCCTCATACTGCTCTTGTGCCTCGAAGCCTGCATGGCCATCGGGGAACCCCATGCAGAGGGTTTGGAACGGGACTGAAAAGCACAGTGTGCAGAGATCTGCGGGGTGAGGAGCTGTGAACAGGCAGCTCAGAGGAAGCAGAGTTGCTTATGCCACTTTCTCAATGCTTTACAAAGTGAAAAGAGGGAAAATTAAATGTCTGTGTTTTGTATGTGCAGCTTTAACAGTCGGAGGTTAGGAAATAGCTGAAATCATTACAAAAGACTAGAGAAAAGACAGCACAGATGAGCTTAACACAGGGGATTACACTGACAGCCTGTGCAGGGCTCCGAGGGGACCGTGCAGGCATTGTTCAGCAGTGTCAAATGTGGAGGAACTGATTACTGTAGATGAATTTAATATAAAGAAGAATTAAAACCATCAAACAGCACAAGAGAATTTGTTACCATGCTTATGGTTTCGTGCCACCAGCCACCCACTGCATATCCAGAACAGAAATTCACCCTTACACAGCAGAACTGTATCACCTGCACAGGGCTTCCTAAGCCATGTGCACACTGACATGTGCAATAATACCCCCCCCGTTTGTAGGTATTAAGCACAGCCAAGACTTCACACTACACACAGGCATTCACTCACCTCTGGTGATTGAAGCAGGCTGGTGTGCTCGATTTTGACATCAGATGCAGCACATGGCTTTTCGAGCCATTGCACAAACCTCCTAACAGGGTCTCTCTGTACTTTCACCTCAGGCTCTGCCAACCTGCACCCATCTCAGCAGCACATCCACACTGGTATGGATACTACCTGGTATCTTGTCAGTTTTCCACCCTGGGCAATAAAGCCAGACACGTATGGAGCTTTTGAGCTTTATGACTATATCCCTGCTGCATTCTAACTGCCAGGAATTGTCAATTGCAGGTTTTCATGGAGCTGCTTTGCTCTTTGGTCAATACCCACTCCAAAGGGCTCAGGAGCAAAGGTTGAGGAAGATGTGTGCTGGGCCAAGCCAGACCTGCTCTCAGGACAAAGGGAGCTATTGTGTTAGCTCTCTCATAAGGAAGTAAAGGGGAGGACTGGCACGCTTCTCTGAGAAGGGAGGTGATAATAGTTGGGTGTTTTTTTCCCTCTTTTAACACCAGCAAGAGGGAAATGGAAACAGACTGAACTGTCAGGGCTCTGAGAGCAGCACACTGTAGATATTATCTTGGCTGCACAGTAAAGGTGTTAATGGTTGAACTAGTCTGTTCCTGCCTGAAGTGAGTCAGTCTGACCCACTGCAGCTAAGCCACATGCTAAAAAGCATGGGGACGCCATAGGCTAACAAAGGAGGGAGGCCAGCACCAGCTGGTGCAGCACTCAGAAGGGTCTTTGTGGGGCAGACCTTTTCTAGATCTCATCACACTGAAGACACAGAACACAGGCACCTTCCCAGGCTGAAGTCCTTTTAGATCTCATTCATGTGAAGTGGAAAGCCATGCAAGAGAGACCTCGTCCCAACACTAGGAACAAGGCTTCCCATTTAGCTGGTGTCCCAGCAGGGGCACCTACCTCTTCCCACCACCCTGCAATGGTTTCTATCCCCTCATGTCCCCAAGGGACATCCTGGTCCAGATGTCTACATACTGGCTGTGGGATCCCTCCTTTTCCATGTGTATTCATAAAAGCTGTGGCAAACACACTTTGGGAACACAAGGACGCAGATACCTGTGGATGTGCTGGGAGGGTGGGAAGAGAGGTACAGACAGCATATGGCTTTCCCTAAATCACCCCAAAGCACAGGGCAAGATGAACAAAAGCCTCTCCAATGAAGACAAACCTTTTGATCCAACATCTTCAGAAGTGTCCCCCTACCTAGGGGTCAAGGTAAGGCCTTCCAATAGCCAAACAGTCCCTGTGTACCTTGGAGTGACATAATCCAAATGTCCTACCCATTTTCCTGAGTTTTCAGCACCAGCTTCAAGTCAGAGAATCTGTCAATGTCCTGGGTTACATTCAGCTTTACCACCTTGTCTTTTCTGCCCTTTGTATCTATTATGTGATCCCCCCACCTCAGTGCCTCACTTACTGATGGCAGAGCCTGAATAAAAGGCATTTCTAAGTAGAAAAGGACACAGCTACTCACACAGAGAGAGGCAGCCTGAAGTGCTGTGAGGTCTGGCTGAAGGGCATGATGAGAAGGGCACAGAGATAACACAGTGTGTTTCCCTGCACTCCTGCCTCCCATACACAGCTCCCTCTTGCTTGACAGAAACAAGGGGAATCCAGCTAAATAACCAGGGGGAAAACCACCCCCAAACCCAAAGGGGGACAGGAAGAAACTATTCAATGTTTTCATCAATAGCCTGACACGTTGGGTGAGACAAATTCCCTTGGCTCTTTTTGCCAGCACTTTTCCCATGTGCTCAAGAGCTGCCTTGTCAGACAGCAGGAAGACAGATGGGTTCACTCTCCACCCCCTCCCCTTCCCCTCCTTGTCCTCAGAGGTGTGACTGAAGCCACATGTCACAGCTCTGCTCTTGATGAATTCCCATATGGGGCAGATGGTCCAGCTACTTTTACTTCTGCTTTACCAGACAGCAACAGAGCCCTCCTTGGCTGGACACGGCAGGATTCAGTCCCTGGCTCACACTTCTGTTACCTCTTTTCCACTATCCACATCCCTGTGTCCACACCAGGTAGTATCTTGTGCTCCTGCCTTGCCCACAGTCACAGCTCCACCAAGCCAGCCCTAATGACAAGCTGGATCTGAGGTTCCCAAAGCCCTGCTAGGCTCCTCGTGGTACCCTTTCCCAGTCACCCTTCTCTATCTGGAGTGTCTGTGCAGCTAAACCTGCCCCAGCGCACACTGTGCCTGTGATGGAGAGCAACAACAAGGCTGGGGGCTGCCGGCTGGGGAGGAGGGAAAGGTGAGGTGAGTCACTGGCCCCTGGGACACAGCCAGAACCTGACTAATCGTGTTTCATCAATCCTCCTGGGCTGCTAATTGGATGCATTTCATTCAACAGGCTCACACCGGTGGGAGAGGAGCCACGTGGCAGGTACAGATACGTTCCAGCCTACCCATTTCCCATTAGTCCAGTGCAGGGACCACACAGCAATGCCTTGCCTCACTCACCTCCCATTAGCAAAGCCACACACCTAACCCTCATGCTCCCCCAGCAGACCAGGCTCTTCAGTGCTTCCAGGCAACAGAAGATGTGTTTCTGAAGCTGTATTTACAGGGCAGCAGTTGAACGGGGAGCTCACTGCACCACCAGAGGGTAAACCTTTAAAAGAGATGTAGACCCTCCTGATTGCAGGAGAGTGTGAGAGATGATGCTTCCTGCTTTTAAAGCCTTTGTTCCTTACCCATATCCCATTTGGGAAACAGCTCCTATGATCATACAAGACCCAACAGCTGTTCTCTCACAGCATCTTTCGACCAGTATGATTATGCTGGCTGTTGAAATCACCAATCCTGATCCCCCAGTCTGGCTCGAGGGAGAGCAGCAGCACTGGCTTCTCCTGAAGGGTAGAGCTGGGCTTTCACAGCTGCAAAGTTACACTTGAGAAGTGGCTTTAGTACGAGACAGGATGGTGCCCGCAGCGCTTTCAAAAGCACTTCTGGATGTGCTGAGGACAAGCACACTAGAAAAGCTTCCGGGGTTGACAGCTCAATACCTTTCACCATCTCTAAATGCTGCTTGCAAAAGGTCAAGCTTTGTATGAAAGAATCCTCCTCCAAAGCAAAGTCAGAATACACCAGTATCGCCTTCTCCAAGCACAGCAGCTGAACACCACAAGCACCACTGAAGACTGAAGGCCCCATTCGGCAGGTCCATACAGGGTTAGTCCCTTGGGAATGAGGACCAAGTTCTGCCCATCGCACCAGAACTTGAGTTTACACCACAGCCGGTGATTTAGCACAACAGGGAGCAGACTTTACCTCAGGTGCTGACTGCATCATCATCCAGCACCCCATGAGAAAAGGAGACCTTGAGGGTCTGGCTCCACAGAGGAGCAGGAACTCTGAGCTTCAATTGAACAGTGAAGGTTTTTCAAACCACGCAGGTTTTGGTTTAGTCCTTAAACCTTATTTCTTCCACTTAAAACGAGTTAAGAGACGAGTCAGCCCTTCCTTCCAGCCTCTGCTCTTCTGTCCCCTGCAGGTTTCCACTTGCAGAGGAGGCAGGCTGGGAGTAATGACATCATTTTAATTATTCAAGTATTTGGTTATTAAGTTGCCTTTGCTAAGTCTGAAGAAGCTCTTACCATTCCCTTCCTACACGTGCTGCTGGAAGAACAACAGCTCAGCGACTTGGGGCTGCCTTGCCCTGCTCCACCAGGCACTTCAGAGGAGAAAGCAGAGCTCTTCACAGCAGCCACAGCAAGGAGAAGGCTCCTGCCCCATCCAGGAGCAGCACTTCTCACACCCACATCCCACTGCAGGCTTGGGGATGCAGTCCTCTGCCTATTCTCCCGTGGGCCTTGACCACAGAAAGCCAACACCAACATTGTGACATAGAACACTCAATAGGGATAGGCATGGTGATGGAAATGGTGGGTGAAGTTATCACTGATGAGAGCTTCTCAAAGCTCTTATTGACTTACTCCATTAGGAGGATGGTTCTTGGAGGTACACCTTCTCCAGCAGCCACTGAGGAATGGAAACAGGCTTGGAAAGGAGCAGACTGTTCACACTGGGGTTCCCTCTGTCCTCCTTCCCATCTGCTGGTAAATGAAGACTTCGGATTTCAACTCACATAAAGCATTTTGAGGATTCAATCCCCTCTGTCCACTCTTTAATAGTCAAGTCCTTACAGCCTTTTAGACCATAATCCCCAATTTAGACCTCCAGCTGCAATGTACATTCATTGTTATCGACACAGAAACTGCTTTAGAAGAGGAAAAGGAGTGAAATGTCACTTCTCACAGTGAGAGCACGTCTCCTGTCCTTTGCTTTTATCCCAGTCGAATTACTTCTCTCCCCAGCCAACCCCTGCCACTGAAGAAAGCACATAAACATTTGCTCCCAGGCTGAGCCATGTCGTGCCAAGCCGCAGCCCCCAGCCAGTGCTGACACAATCTCTATGTTTAGGAGCACAAACACTGGCAGCTCAATGAGAGGGGACTCATTTGCTGGCATTAATATTCAGTCTCTCTGCAGCATGGGAAGCATCAATTGTTCCGTGTGAAATAAATCATGTGTCTTTCCTGGGGGGATTTTAATGAGGCCTCCTCCCTCTTCTCCCAACACTCTCAGACTGGGGGGAAAGGGGGGAAAAAAAGCAAAACAACATTCCAGCATCTCCCCATCAACCCTGCATAGTAATGGCCCAATCAGGGTAATTAGGATGTCTCCTGTGTGCTCAGGGAGGCTTTACCCAGCAAATTCAGCCTGCTGTTCATTATGTT